GCCAGCCCTCCCCGCCCCGACCCGTTCCCGGCTCTGCCGGCCCAAACTCCCCTCCCGCCCCCAGCTCGAGCCCGCGCCCGCCTCCCAAGCAGCCCTCACCCCGGGCCCGCGCAGGCCCCTGCCCCGGGAGCACCATGTTCCCCCGCCCGCTGACCCCGCTGGCGACCCCAAATGGCGCCGAGCCCCTGGGCCGGGCACTGAGACGGGCCCCACTAGGCAGGGCCCGGGCCGGGCTGGGGGGGCCGCCCCTGCTGCTGCCGTCCATGCTGATGTTCGCGGTGATCGTGGCCTCCAGCGGTCTGCTGCTCATGATCGAGCGGGGCATCCTGGCCGAGATGAAGCCCCTTCCCCGGCACCCTCCCAGTCGCGAGGGCGCGGCCTGGCGCGGGGCAGTCCCCAAGCCTGGAGGGCTGTCCCTGGATGCTGGGGACTCGGACTTGCAAGTGCGGCAGGACGTCCGGAACCGGACCTTGCGGGCGGTATGCGGGCAATCGGGCATGCCCAGGGACCCCTGGGACTTGCCGGTGGGGCAGCGACGCACCCTGCTGCGCCACATCCTTGTAAGTGACCGCTACCGTTTCCTGTACTGCTACGTCCCCAAGGTGGCCTGCTCTAACTGGAAGCGGGTGCTGAAGGTGCTGGCGGGCGTCCTGGACAGCGTGGACGTCCGTCTCAAGATGGACCACCGCAGTGACCTGGTGTTTCTGGCAGACCTGCGGCCTGAGGAGATTCGCTACCGCCTACAGCACTACTTCAAGTTCCTGTTTGTGCGGGACCCCTTGGAACGCCTCCTTTCTGCTTACCGCAACAAGTTTGGTGAGATCCGAGAGTATCAGCAGCGCTATGGGGCTGAGATCGTGAGGAGGTACAGGCCTGCAGCTGGTCCCAGCCCTGCAGGGGATGATGTCACCTTCCCTGAGTTCCTGAGGTACCTGGTGGACGAGGACCCTGAGCATATGAATGAGCATTGGATGCCGGTGTACCACTTGTGCCAGCCTTGTGCAGTGCACTATGACTTTGTGGGCTCCTATGAAAGGCTGGAGGCTGATGCCAATCAGGTGCTGGAGTGGGTGCGGGCACCACCCCATGTCCGGTTCCCAACTCGCCAGGCCTGGTACCGGCCAGCCAGCCCTGAAAGCCTGCACTACCACCTGTGCAGTGCCCCACAGGCCCTGCTGCAGGATGTGCTGCCTAAGTATATCCTGGACTTCTCCCTCTTTGCCTACCCACTGCCTAATGTCACCAGGGAGGCCTGTCACCAGTGACCATGAGTGTGGGGCCAGCAACTGTTGGGGACTAGATTCTATAATGCCAGCTTCCTGTGCTTCTGCCTACCATTCAGGGAAACTATGGCTCTGGGGCTTGAGGCTTCTCCACATGTTCGGATGGCAGGGACTGCCCTCAGAAATTCCTCGTCCCAGATGGGTACCCACAGTAGCTCAGAGGACAGGGCTAGACAGGAGGCTTTCTGCTTTCCATTGGGGGGATCTTTTGGGGGCTAGTGTGGTCCTTCTTGCCCTGGCAGGGCCAGACCCATTTGCTAGTGAAGTAACACGTGATCTGAAGACTGGTTCCAGGACCTGGCTGCAGGGATTGTGCAGTCCACTTGGCCCACCTTAATTTAATCTGTGGCCCAAATCAAGGGGGCACCAGCCAGGAGCATGACCAGAGCTGAGGCCCCTGTGGCTCTGATCCCCCATTCATCCACCCATGTACCTCAGGACTGAAGTGAGCAGTCGTGCCTTATAAATGACTTTTGTGCCTTTCTCCTCTAGACTCAGAATTTTCTACACCTGCCAGGTTCTTTCCATTTTTCCAAGGAAAGGAAAACTGAAGCAGGGCCTAGTAGCTCCAGGACCCAGTCCTGCAGGCATCCAAAGACCCCTGTGCCCAGCCTCTTCCTAGGGCTCTAGGAACCCCCTCCCTAATCCTCCATCCCTCCGCACAAGACCTTCCAGGTTGCTACCATGACTGGTGTATCTGGCTGCCACTTTTCTGATGCATTTATTTAAAATTTGTACTTTTTTAATAGAATCCTAGCAAGGGCTTTATTTACCTAATAGCTGAATTTTTAATAAAGCTGTTTTGTGTACAAAGTGAGCATCTCTGTGATTCCCCCTGTGACTCCTGTGGGTCCAGAAAGTCTCCTAGGTGTCTGTGTCCCCAGGTCAGGAGAGGGAGCTTGCAGGTAGAGAAAGTAAGACAAGATGTAACTTACTTAGGCCAGTCCAGTGGGCTATTCCCACACCATGGCACCTTTAGGGGCTTCTAATAGGCCATGTCCCGTCACAGACAGCTTCTGGGATGTGACCAAAGGGCAAGCCCATTTAGGAATGGCCCCAGGTCCAGAACTTACCTCCAGAAATGATTTCCTGAAGAAGAGGGTGGTTAGGAGACCTAGGCCCTGCTCCTGTTAGGGAGGACCGCCTGAGTGAGGTGCCACTGAGAGCATTTTCAAATGAAAAAGGGGATCATTCTGTGAGCAAAGCGAGGTTATTCCTGACATTGAGAATTACAAGGAGGGAAGGCAAGGAGGTTGAGCAAGGGGCAGGCCCTCGCTGACTTAGGTCCAAAGAAAGTTGTGGACTTTGTGGAAGGAATACAGTGTGGCCTGTTCCCTCAGTGCTTCCCAGAGATCCCAGGCCCAAGAGGTGATGCAGAACAGGAGGCTGGGCCTGCTGTGTCCATGGGAGAGTTGCGAGGCCAGAGCTGGCTCTTCCCTGTCTTATTTCGTACACCCCCAGTGGGAACTTCTGTACTTTAGGTACCTGAGGCTGCAGTGAGAGGTGGGGCCCAAGGGAGTGAGGGAGTTGGCCTGACTTTGGAGAGGAAAACTAACCCCATTCACCAAATTTGGGGCAGGGACTTCTGTGGGCATTCATGGTTCTCTGTCATGATTCACCAGGTCATGTTGCTTCCAGGAGGCCTTACTGATTCCCTTTCTAAGTTACATGCCCTTCTTTCAGGTCTCAGTGGCTCTGGGGATCACCTAAACTGATCAAGTCCCAGCTCTACTCCTCAGTAGCTGCCTGACTTCCTCTCTGAGCCCCTGTTTTCTCCACTTTATCATGGAAATAATAACACCTATCTGTGTAGACTGCTGGGGGTCCAATGAAGACCAAATGAGTAAAAGGACCCATCCCAGCACCTGGTTCGACAGATGTTCTTTGAGATGCTGGTTGAATACCTGGTCCCTCAGAGGTCCGCAGGGACAGGGAAATCAGGACACTGTGTCCAGCCCAGCCTAGAGACTGAGCTGCATCTGGACAGAGTCCTGTTGACCCCTCGGTTCACTTCCTCTACCAATGAGTCAGTCCTTCTCTGAGCTTCCCACCCCTCAGGCGTCCCCCACCCCCATCACTCCCCTGGCTTCTTCCTCCTTGCCCAGGACCTGCAGCAGCTCCAGCCCTATAGCAGCTAATGCACTCCAGACACACAGCAGCTGATCGGTCCCCCTTACAAGGGCCTGCAGCGTGGAAGCCAGAGAACCCAGAGCATGCTGGGCCCAGCTGTTGTATTTACCTCATCTCGCTTAATCCTCACGACAGCCCAATGCCATAGGTGTTATCCTGTTTTACAGACATGGAAACTGGCACAAAGAGGGTAAGTAACCCACCCAAAGTGTCCAACCCAGGTCTGTGCCTTCCAAACAGCAGGGAGGGAGGAAAAGAAAGAGAGAGGGAGAGAGTGTGAAAGGTGGGGGTAGAGAGAAGAAGGTGAATGGAGAGAGAGAGGAAGGTGCCATTAGATGAAGGGTAGGTAGGTTGTAGTTAGGGGTGTTTACAAACATTCTCCTTCCTCAGTTTTTTCATTCCTTGATTTGCAAAGAATCCAGTTCAGCCTGGCTGACTTCTGCCAGTCCCACTACCAGAAGAATGGGGGATGAATGAAGGCCCTTGATGTAGTTAGTATATTGGCTCTTCTCCTCCCAGGCAGAAGAGGGGTGCTGGGCCATAGGGCATCCTGACAGCCAGAGCTGGACACCAGCGGTGTGGGGAGGAGGGTTTGGAGTAAGAAGAGAGAAGAGGGACTGTTAAGACAAACTGCCCCCTTCTGGGTCATTTTTTCCCTCTAGTCAGCCCCTGAGGAACTTATTTTGTCATTTACCCTTCCTTTCAAGAAAATGGACTTCTTAAAAGAAGCTGCCAAGTAGGTGGTAGAGAGTTGTGGGGTCCAGCTGGCCCTAATGGGATCTGCCTTATACTGGGCACTCAGACCAGCACTGGAGGGTGCTGTGGGCTCTGGGGTGCCAGGGGTGGGGGCATCCTCTGGACTGTGTCTTCTGAGAAATCCTCCTTTTCACTGGGTCTGCTCTGATTCCCTCATGGAGCCATGCCCAGTGCTACTGCATGGCTCCTGAAAGGACAAGGGGCCCCTTTAGGATTTCTGCTATCTCGGACAACCCCATTCCCCTGGGCACAGGGGGTGGTGCTGGCAGATGTTTGACTTTTCTCACTGCTGAGGGCCACGAACAAAGGAAAGGGGTGGTGCCTGTAGGGACCCCATGGGCGCCTGAACAGGGACACACCCTGACAATATGGCGCCCTTCCTGGTTCTTCTCCACAGTAAACATGCCCGCTCATGCCAACACCCAAGCCCACCCGCGCCAAACCTCAGCCAGTCACAGGTCAAGGCTCACCTCCTGCCCAGCCCCGTCCAATCAGTTACCACCCCGTCCACTCTCTCTCCCACCCCGGAGCACAACACCCTATAAATGTACACGCAGTCTGCGGAACTTCTCTGGCAAACTGTTAGCCCGGGTCTCGCGTGATTCCTTTGTCCGTGCGTCCCCTTCATTATGGTGCCGAAACCCGGGAAGGAGTTCACCCTGCGACAAGGGACTCCTTCCTCGGACCTCCTTGGACTCCTCCGCGACTCCCCCGGGATTGACGGTCCGCCCCCGTCCGTTTTCTCTGGCTCTGGCTTCCTTCACCCACCACCGGCTCATCCATTAGGTAAGTCCCCTTTTCCTTTTGTCAAGCTTGTAGGTTATTTAAACCTTCACCCTAATCACATTCCCCCGGCCCCAGCATTGACACGTTCCCAGCCCCGGAGGCTGAACCTCCCATTCCTCCCTCTCTCTTTCTCTCACTCCTTTTAACCTTCCTCCTTCCTGGGTTCATCCTTGAACCCATCTAACCTTCTTCCTACCGGGTCCAGGACCCCCGCCGTCCGTCAAACCCTAACGCGTCCTTCTGGCTCCTCCGGCATTTTGCCTACGGGAAGCGAGGGTCTAGGTGACGACTTACACCTCCTTCCTTCCTGGGTTCCAGGAACCCATCTCCTGGGAACGGCAGGACTCATTGGGGACACCCTCTGAGTTCTGTCCTTCTCATCCAGCTGGAAGGCTCGTTCCTTCTTTTAAAACCTCTCTCTCTCTCTAATCCTCTTCGGAATGGGAGCTTCCGCCTCCTCCCTCCGGGGTGATTCACCCTTACAATGTCTCTTAAACAACCTCACCACCCTATCCCTCAAGCCTGACATCAAACCCAAACTCCTCACTAAATTTTGCACACAAGATTGGCCTTATTATCCCCTAGATAACCAAAATAAGTGGCCCCCTGAGGGCACACTCGATCC